GTTTGAGTCTTATACCTGTATTTCTTTTCTATATGTTCTGATCTTATACCTGTATTTGAGCAGCACCATTCTTTAGCTAATAGTTTCCATACAGACAGAAAAAAAGATTTTGTAGCAAATAGAAGTCTTAATAAAGTGTACTTTTTGGTCCAAATTGGCTCCAATTTATCAAAATACTGAATCACATGTGTAAAACTGAGAATTTAAGCAATCTTTTCTTATTTAGAAAAGAATGACATTTTAGTCATACATTAGTAACACTTTGGTCTGCACAGTATCAAGTGCATGCTGAAGTAAATTTGTAAGTCACACAGTGAAGTCCTCTCTTTGGTAGGGCATATGTCAGTCAAAAATTAATCCCTTACCCAGGGATTCAATGACTAGAAAGTAAGAGTATTCAATAAAAAAAATTGTCCTTCTTACAGAAGACAGCACTATCAGTGAAACGCCACAACCCAGGAGCTGGTGTTGTGACCACAGTGTATCAAAGTGTCCCTTGGAAGTATAACCTGGGATAGAATAATTTTGCCACTAACATGGATTAGTAAATGCACTGGCATATTTGTCAAGGGAGATGTAGTAAGGATTAATTATTTAAATCTGATCTGAATTTCCCATGTTTCTTTCTTGTTCCATAATAATAAAAAAAATAAATTCCAAAGTAATAATTTTCTATTTGAACTAAACCTAGAGTTAATTGTCACCCACACTGGACAAGAAGTAGATTTTCCTTACTCTTCATTCCATCTGCGTTATGTAAATAGGTGCATAATGTTGCCTATTGAAACTGTAGTTCATTAAGTCATATCAGGATATAAAGAACATATTTGATCCCACATGGGGCCATCAGTATAGATGACAGTTTCTCTCCTGTATCTGCTCATCCTTTTAAAGAGAAATATGTTGAAACCATTTACAAGTGGTCCCTTTTAAAACATGTATTAGAAATTAGAAGTGTGCGTGCATATCTGTGTGTGCAAGCCCATGCAACAGAGACTGAGAGAAACTGACCATAATAAATTCTGCAGAAAAAAAAAGAGAGATTTATGTGGAGACTAATAAAAAATAATTTTGGCAGTGAAGAAGTCCTGAGTGATGTAGCTTAATATTTGGCACCTATGTGGTAAAGTCACAAGTATCTAAGACAGTCATATCTAAAAGCCAGAAGAAGGAAAAAAACCTCTCCCTTAGTTCATATCGCATGGGCTTTCTGCCTGGATGCTAAAGTCATGACAGCTTGCATTGTGGCGGGGTGGAGGGTATGGCTTCCTGATCAAGGCCACCAAATTTTTCATGAACAGCACTTGTCTACTGCTCCCATTGTACGAAAAGGTTGTTTGGCAGTGAACGAGGCTCTGTGCACAGAGGTATCCACTCCCACCCTTCTTCACTCCCAAAACCAGATGAGCTGGAGCTGTCTCTGGTACGATTACTCACAGCTGGGGAAGGTCTTCCTGAGAAATAGGCACAGTAGTTCCATGAACTGAAACTGGTGCATCCTTATCTCAGCATGCAGGACTCAGAGCCAGTAATTACTGAGACCCTGTGAAAAGTTTTACTGCACCATCTCATCATGTCTCCTGCATGATAAAGTCCCTCAGATAATAGAAGGCTTGCTGTTGCAAGATTTTGCATTTCTAGACAGGATTGCAGGGCTGCTGGGAATGTTTGACTGGTTTGGCACTCAAATCCAAGCCTTATCCCTCTAAATCGTATGTCAAGTTTTCTAGGACATCCCCTCTATAAAGAATGGATTTGGGGTAAAATCAGTCTTGCTGTAGTCTCAAGGGCATAAGTCTCAAGCCACTTTGGGCTTAGCAGGACCAGAAATTCAAATATAGGATCTTTCTAGAGAAGGGATCAAAACTGAGTGAGAAAGTTGAGTTCTGGTATTAGAGATTGTCATAAGAGCTACAGGCTTCCAGAAATGTCAAATTCCTGACACTGACTGTGGGTCAGAACTTTCCATTAAGTTTCTCATCTGGAAGCAAATATGCCTGAAGTTAGATGACAGACACCAGAAAGCAATGTTTGTTTACATATTCAGAGTTCAAAATAAGAAAATTGCAATCATGTTTATGTTTAAAAAGGTTTCTAAAAGTTTTTTGTGAAGAGGAAGAACTGTTTGCTTTTACAAAGTAGTAAGCAGACTTTGCTCTGGTATTCATAGCCTATTTGGGAAGTACTTTCGAGCATTTGTGGGCAAAGCTGTTTAAAAACAGTCCTCTACAAAAATAAAGTCATAAAGCTATAAAGCATTTTTTATCTTAGCAGACCAAAATAATTTTTTCCCAGTTATTTCAGGAAGCCTCTGACATTCTTAGAAGTACATTAGCTTGACTGTTTGGGGAGGAGTCTTCTTTCTGTCTTTAATCTTCTACCAATACTGAGATTTACTTTTGTTTATATTTTTTATCACTTCATGTTTAGATGCTTGCTCTGTTATTGACATTTCAACTAGATGCTGCTTTGAACAAAAAAGTAAGGGATTTTGTTGTTTTAAAAAGAACAGATTCAGTGTTAAATTGGATTCCAGACAGTGGAATTTATAATCTAATTCTTACAAGAGATTCAGAGCTTGATATCAAGAGCTGGAGCACTTTATTGTACACATGTAACACGTTGTAAAAAAAGAAGTTTTAAATTCTTTTTTTTAAAACTCTGCTTTTTCCTATCTCAAAGAGTTAAAATATATTCTTTTTCCTCTTACTGTTGATTAGCAAAAATTTCCTCACTCTCTGCTGTCAAAAACTCATGCATATTTGATAGCTTTATCCTTTTCTCCTTAATATTTCAAGTAATTCAGCTAGACTATCTTCATCAATGGGGTAAGCGGAGCTGTAACACCTACTTAAGGGAGGGGAGCCATCTGGTTTCCTTGCAACTTGGAGCCTGCTGGCAAATATTAGGTTGTACCAATTTAGAGCATGATGAAGTGGGAAATAATGGACATTTCTGAAGAATCTGAAATAGGATCAGCTGTTATCGGCGAAAATTGGCAGGTGCAGTGCACTATGCTGGCTGTAAGCGTGGTCTCAAGTTGGAGAGTGCAGCTGGGAAAATGACTTGTTAATTGAATGGTTGCAGGACTCCCAGCAGCCATGAAAGTAGTGGAGCATCATTAATTGGAGGCTCTTGGTTGACTTAGTGGAAGCTGTCACAGAAAGAAGGATCCTGCAAGTTGAGGTGTACTTTCTAGGTGTTAGTGTGGTTTTTGCCTGTTACACTGAATGAGTCCTCATGGAGTCAGAAGTGCTTTCAAACTCAGAATGACTGGCCTAAGGCTAGCAACACCTATTCTTTTATTTACAGTGTGGTAACAGTGGTTGGGAGTTATAAAAGATATGCAATTACATATTTGTTTAACTGCACATTTCTTCTGTTATCTTTCCCTTCCCTCTCTTTTTCCCTTTTATTTTCACTTGTGTTAGGGTTCAAAATTGGCTTGGAGCAGAATTTTTTTTTTTTTTTTTTTTCATTTAAAGCCTTGGAAGACCTTGTCCTCAACTGTTTTTTGGATGCTGCCATAATTCATAAAAGTAGTTATAGAAAAAAAATGGCCTAGTTTTGGTTCAGAATAGTATTACATACACCTTTGGTTTATGTGGGTCTCAGAATAGCAGTGAATGCAAAAGCATGTGTGCATTAGCTGTGGCTCCCTTTTTCATATGTTGTTTTTATTCATTAAATGCTAACATATTGTGGTGCATCCTAGTTTAATATAAAGGTCTGTTGGTAAAACATGGCATTTTCCATCAGCTGTTAACATCCCTTGAGGGAAGATGTATTGGCAATGAGTGCTGTGCAGAAAGCACTGCTGACTTCAGAGTGCACTTCTTGTGTCATTAGTGACGGTAGCACCCCTGTGCACCTAAAATCTCTCCAGGCGTGTACAGTGTAGCTTCCCTGGATGAGTTATGAAGGATGGGAGGTACGAGACTTCAGTGACAGTGAAGGAGATGACATGCCTCTGGCCTGCATAGACACGAGGTCATCTGTGAGTGTGGATTGGATGAGGAACAGTGGGCTGAAGGCTGTCCTGAGCCTCCTAGTGCGGTGTTCGTGAGCTGTAGGTCAAGTGTTAAACCCTTCAAGAGAACTGATGAGACCCCTTTTTCAAGCTGAACCTGAGCAAGTCTTCTAGTGGCCACCAAGCTCTTCCAAAGTTAGGTAATACAGTTAGGGAAAATGCCATCAGTTTGCATCTGCATTTGGATAACCTATGTTAGGTGGGAGGCAGGGAGATGAAACTGGAAAGATTTGGTAGCTGTACTCTTGACCAAAATGATGTGTGGCAAACACCAAGCACAGGCTTGTGATGGAACTGCGAATAGCAAACCTTGATCAAGAGGCTCCTGCCTCCTTCCCTGGGCTCTGACTCAGCAGCCTGGGACAAGCTGTTTTGGGGAATGGCATTTTTTTAAATGGTGTAGCTTGATATGGACAAATTAATGGTGCCTGATTCTAGCTTAACTCTTCTGGATGCTTACTTTGCCTCTTTTGATCTTTCTGGCATTAACAAGTGGATGGATATAATTCACCTGGCCCCATGAATCAAATAAATTAATAGACTCATAGAATCATCTAGGTTGGAAAAGACCTCTAAGGCCATCCAGTCTAACCGTTAATTCAGCAGTGCCAAGCCTACCCCTAAACCTTGGTTTTGAAGTGTCATGTCTTTTAAGTCTTTGAAATACCTTCAGGGACAGTGATTCTACCACTTTCCTGGGCAGCCTGTTCCAGTGCTTGCCAGCCCTTTCAATGAAGAAATTTTTCCTGATATCCTATTCTAAACCTCCCCTGGCACAAAACGAGGCCATTTCCTCTTGTCCTGTCAGTTGTTACCTGGGGAAAGAGGCCAACCCTCACCATGCTACAACCTCCTTTCAGGTGTTTGTAGAGAAAGATAAGGTCCCCCTGAGCCTCCTTTCCTGCAGTGGAGGGAACCTTATCACTCTCTACAACTCCTTTTTTATCTTTCCCTTTTCATCCCCACACAGCTGAATGAATCTGCCAAGCAGCTCATGGAGATGGACAAGACATGCTCGGCTGCCGCCTCGGGCTGTGACGTGCCGCTGGCGACGGAGACAGTGGCAGTGGCAGCGGCAGCGGCGGTGGGTCTGGCACCGTGCTCCACGCTGGCCGGCGCGGGGGCTGCCGGAGCGGCCCAGCGGCAGGTGGAAGGCAAGAAGAACGCCAAGAAACGCCACTCCTTCACGGCCCTCAGCATGACGCACAAGTCCTCCCAGGCTGCCAGCAACCGGCACTCTATGGAGATCAGTGCCCCTGTCCTCATCAGCTCCAGCGACCCACGGGCAGCTGCCAGGATTGGGGACCTGACCCACCTCTCCTCCAGTGCCCCGGCCCAGGTAAGGTGGGGTGCAGGTGGGATTTGGGCATCCTTAGCAGGTGGCACACCCTTACGTCACCTCTTCCAAAGTGGCTCACCCTCACATGAACCTGTCACACGGTGCTGTCATCCTGGTGTGGCAGTACTTGGCATCTGCCGTTCCTATCCTTGCATTAATCAGTGGGCAGTCATGGGGAGCCAGAGGATAAGGCCAAATTGGATTCACAATAGTGCAACACTTTAAAAAACAAAAAGCAATCCTACAATTTGTTAGAAGTAATGCAACTGTTGCACCAGGTTCTGTTGTAGAAAGGAGTAATTTTGAGTGATCCCATTACCCTGAACGTATCTGTTACTCTGCAGGGTAGCAATGTCAGTATGAAATTCACAGGCTGGAGATAAAAAAAGCTTTTTGGAATAATTATTTCTGTACAGATCACTGGAGGATGAGCAAATGTGCTGTACTTTGACAAGTGTTGTACCCAGCAAGTAACTGCTGTTCAGAAAAACCCAAGGGGTTTTTAAACCATCACACATGCTTAGAGTGCAGCCCTCTCCATCCTTCCCTCTCTCAAAGGAGGATGCAGAAGAGCGTCCTCCCAGACATCCCCACAGGTCCCAAAAGGAGCTTCCAAGAGGCTGCTTCTGGGGTCCTTGCAAAAACAGGATCTAAACTCACCAGGAGTGCACTGAAACCCATTGCAATTGCCTGCTGTTACTATGGATAAGGAAATCCAACTGGCGACTTGCAGCTTGAAGGTGTAGAAGAGAAGGGAGGATAGTCACAGTCCCAAAGCTTCTCTGCCTCAGTCTTCCTGCCCAGTCATCTACACAGTGTGTGTACAGATTAGCCCCCACAGGTGGTTTATAGTTTCTCATAGTCTGTGCTGCTTCTAGTGCCAAGATAACCTCAGCATGACAGGGTCTTCCCACACATCATGTCTCTACTGAAAAAAGCCATCCTTGCCCTTTTCTTCTCCCTGGACATCCATGTTCTCATGCAGGGACAAACATGGGTCACTTGCCAGCCCTGTGGTGGCCCATAGTAGGAAGCAATCCATGTCACAGCCACTGTCCATGCTGGTATGCCTGTAGATGGCTGGGAGAGGGACAAGCAGCAAATTGTAGGAGCTGCTTTGGGCAGAAATGCCTGTTTATGTCCATCTCTAGTGCTGGTGGGTCTCCCCTGTGAGGCCAGTGTGGTGCACCAGACCATGGGGTCACTTCTGATAGCTGTGCCCTGCTGTGACCCATGACATGAGCCCCAGGCCCCTGCAGCACAGGTTTGCAAGAACACTGGGGGAGGCAGGGTGCCTGCATGCACACCACAAACAGCCAAAACTGTACTGAGAGGACACTGCCACAGTGAAGCAATACTCTCTGCTTCTGCCTCAGCTGCTCATCTCCCTCCACTGCCCATCCACACGTAGGAGCCAGAGAGACAGCTTTGTCCAACTGTAATAGCACTCATTTTCTTCCACATGCCTTTTCCAGGAAGGGTTTCTTTGGTGTGAGGTCTTCCCCGACTTTCAGCCCCCAGAAGGAGGGTGAAGGTGAGGATATAGCCCCCACACAAGGCGGCATCAGTGTCAAGATGTACTGGGACATCTGTCAAGGAGCACAAGCACTACACATGAGGGAGTGTCCCAAACTTGTCAGTTAAATGGCACCCAGGTTTTTGGCACCAAGAGTGACACATTTGGACTTTATAGAGACAGTGGCTTTTCTGTTCCTGAGCTAGTCAAGAGAAACACAACACACACCCTTTTTTTGTTAGAGTTATGCTGAAGACTCATTCTGAACTAGTAAACCACAAAAGTTATACCATGAAACAAAAAGTGCCTTGATTATTCTCCCATGTTTTAACAGAACAACTGGTTTGTGAAACCCCAGTCATTTCTCAAATAATTTTGTCACTTGCACACAAGTGATAGAGGACAAGAAGGGCCTGATGTTCCTGGTGACAAGCTATGATTATCAAAATCCAGCCCACAGGAAGCTTGGTTGGGTTCTTTGCAGCAGATGGGAAGACATATAATCATTGCCATGGTCAAAAGTTCATCTAAGGCTGGGGTGTAATGAAGCCCATGGTGGGAGCAGGTTTGGGGAGTGGTTCTGCCTCAGGATGTAGAGCCAGTTTGCAGACAAGGCAGCTGAGCACATGCCTCTATCACTGTTGGTCAAAACTGTCTTGGCCAAAATCCAGGCAGGGAAGAAGAGTCTTGGTGGCTCAGATCAACCTTAGTGAAAAGAAGCTTCCTTCTGTCAAAATGTGTCACCCCAAGTGACACCCCAAGTGTGGCATTTACATATATCTCTGCTTTTGGGAACCTTGCTTTCTAATTTGAGAGATTTAAACTTTTTCCTTTGAAAACTTTGCAATGAATGTGGATCTATAGGGGGAAAAAAGTGGGGCTGAAGTTTTCACTATGTTCTCTTGATTGTAGGAGCAGCCTTCAGAAAAATGATTGTAAGATTAGCAATAAAATCACAAGAGCTACAAACATGAATTTACCTGCTTTTTAAGCCTTCTTAGTTAGGTCTACAAAAAATACAGAATTTAGCTCTTACCAAATGTACATTACAATTACATAAGCTATACTTATGTAACTATTAATCCCATAATAATAGGGGTTACATTTTAATTTAAAACGTCAGAAGTTCAATCTCTTCTCTGCCATTTGCTAAGACTTGACATAGCTCTGAAGTAATTAATGATGCTTCAGCCTTAGACAGAATATCAGTTCAGCACTTTTCTTTTATTCACAAGGCTGAACGCCAGCCAGAGTAGCATAAACAATGGGCCCCGTGAGCTCTTACATCAAGGTATTCAGGGCAGTGAGAATCTTGTCTTCAGATTTTTTGCTCTAAAATGCATTTGCCATTTCTAAGGTAAATGCCCTGTATGTCTTGTTTAGGGCTTGACATCTTGACAAATCTGCAAACTGATTCTACTACTGCTTCATAAGTGTTCAGGGGCATTGCTGAGAGCATGGGCAGGTTAGGAAGGCTGTGCATGTAGCTGCCAAACTCACCAGTGAGCTCTGCTGCAGTAAAATGTCTCACCTTTTCTTTCCTCACTTGTAGATGAACCTCTCTGTCCTGCATGTCATTGTCACAGCCGTTGAGTGGTTCTCTCTGTAACCATCTCATGCCCTTACTGGTTTGCAACAGCAAATTCAGCTGAAGCTTATTTCTTATAATGGGAAACAACAAATTTACAGGTTCAGTATCTAGCAAATTTTTGGTTTTTTTTTTTAACTAGAATGTAAATTTGTTTTATTGTGTTGTTATATCCTATCCTTGAAATTTCCAGGCACTTTTTCATTGCTTATTTAATAGATCTCTTCATAAAAAGAAGTAAAGGAATTTTTTTCAGTTTAGTAGGTATGAATTTCTCTGGAATGTATCAGGATTAGCATTTAGCTTGCAGGAGGATTCTACATTTTGAAAAAGTTCAACGGAGTCTTATAGCCTGTCCTTTGAACAAGCAGAATTCAATTACAGGAGTTCTTGAATGGCATCCAGTCCTCTACCTCAAGGCAACCGGCTGGTGCCCAGTGAAACAGCCTCCTCAAAACAATCATCAGTTTTCCCTGTAGACCTGAGGCACCTGCATCTGGAGCACCTGCTTTCTCTCTGCTGACATGAGAAGAAACAGAGACACCTAGGGCTTACTGCCTAAGTTATTGCAGGAACTTAAAATTTAGGTGCAAATTTTACATGTTTCAGTAAATGTAGCACATATTCCACCCCTTAGAACTTATTTCATGTGTAGTGCTTTATTCTTGTGACTTTTGTCAATTCTTGTGAATTGAAACCAGACTTCCACACTGAGCTGACATGTTTTTTTGTTTTTATGAGTCGTTAGACTATTATAAGCCTCCAGGAGGGCACAAATTTCTGCATATTGTGCACTGACATGCAGACCAGACTATGAAATCATGTTTTGAAAGCAGTTCTGCATATCATTAATTTAATAATGGAAGACTGCTGGCCTTCCATAATGTGTTCATTGTTCTTTAAGCAGAACCAACTCAGCTGTTTTCCAAAAGCCAAGATGTATTTTGAAATGAATGATGGTCTTAGAAACATCTTCACTGACTACAAACTTTGGGATGCTTGAAAGGTAGAAGAATCAACTTGAAGTCACCCCAGCTGGATAAAATAGTGACTGGAATTCCACAACAGCCCAGATATAAAGCATTTAATTTAAAAGAGGCAATGCTGGAATCCTAATTTTACCTGCAACTAAATTTGCTTGTATGCTTTCTGCTGCATGCTGAGCATCACTCATTAAATGTAAGATGTCCAGCTGAAAGGTAATAGTGTCTGTCCATCATGCAGAATGTCCTATCATACTGGCAAAAGGAATTTTTATTGAAGATGTAAGTAGTGCTGCAGGGCTGTGACGGAGTTGAAGCTGAATTAGGTTGCGGGTGCAGAGGAGTGGTTCGTAACTGAGATTCCTTGGGGAGTGGGGAAGGTCCCCTTGGACAGTAATCATGCCCAGGCCTCAGATGGCTTGTCTTGCTTCCATTTTCACCCCTTATGAATTATTCGTCCCTGCCAGTTGAAAAGGTCATGGGTCAGTACTGCTCCAAATCCCCTGGATTTTGACAGAAAAAGCATCTCATGAATAATGAAGCATGGCTTTGTGCACACCAGGGTAACAGCTGAATGAGGGAGAAAGGATCCTCCCTGTGAACTTCTGTGTGTGTTTTGAACAACTCATCACCATGCACAAGAAGTCAATCTGTATCTGCAAGTATTAGTACAAGCTCCTAACCAGAGGACACATGTTCAGGAAAAGCTGAGAACAATGTCTTGCACGCTCCCAATCCCAAAGAGTGACAGTATTTGAAATTAAAAATGTTCCTTGAGGTGTCTTGCTATATAAATCATTTGGAAGTGTGTCCTTATCAGTTATTTAGAAGTGCTGAATTTTAGCTGAGAAAATGTAATAGCAGAACTCTGGTTGAGCCTTGGCTGATAACCTAAATGTGCTGACCATGAGAG